CTTTTATAATTCAATTAATCAAAAAGAGTCATTTTAGTCTACAATACAGCTCTACACCGAAGCGAAGCGAGGGCGGGCCACTAGTATAGTAATAAAAATCTTTATTTTAACACTAAACATTGCCACATAAACACAGTTACTGTTAACATCCGCAATAGTCGAGGACTGTGTTGCAGATGTTAGCACCCACCTCTGAACAGACGGGCGTTTCAGACATAAATATTGTATTCACAGAGTACTTTTTATTTAATTAATGTTTAAAATTTAATTTACTTAAACAAATGTTGTATGAAAACTTATATTATACTTATATAATATTCAAGGAGGCACACATTATTCTGTTTTTTTTCAGAATGGAAAAAAACCTAACGTTCGGTGCGGATTCTAGCTAATAAAAAAACCGACACGTCTGCGCTAGGCTCACGAAATTCCAGTTCGTACATAAACCATACGTGTGCGCCCAGTCTTAATGTGGCTCTCTCTAAGGCAGGTTACTTCCCCAGATGGGCGCTCCTACAGAAAACTGAAAGAAGTAAGAAGGGCCTTGTGGGCGGGGCAGGCGCGTCACTATTATGTATGAGCAAATTCTCAAAACTTGGTTCTGATTGCGCCGTTGCTCTCGGTTGTGAGCGCTGATTGCTTCGATTTTTTGATGTCGGGTCGTTTGATTGGCTATTATCTATAGGTGGAAGTGTAATAGGGGCGAGCTGGCGACATCGGTTCCCGTACAAACGGTCTATGATCACCCTTCTATCCTATTTCTGTGTTCTGTGGGCGCTCCAATTCGAGCAAAAATCCGCTATCATCATTATCAGCCTATTAATGTCTCTACTGCTGGGGCACTGGCCTTCCCTTCCCAGGTAACGCCAATGGAATAAGGAGATTGGGCCATGAGCCACCACACGGGCCCAGTCCGGATTGGTGGGTGCTAACGACCACAGATGCAGCCGGGACTAACGAATGGCCGACCACTGCGATAGATGCTTAATTTCAACTATCGCAGCCGAACGCTCTAAGCACTTGCGCCAATACGAGCTCCTCATGGCTATGCACTACATCTCTCAAAATATCTGTAGATAATGGTAGTCTGCATAGTCACAGTGGTCCACTTAGCATAAGGCGGGTCATAAATGCATTGTTATTCCGTACGCTTTAAGCTTAACCTATACATAAAAAAGCAAGGTTATACCTTCTATACAGAATTGTTAAAAACACCTTTACATAGATTGCTCAGAGTGGTGGTCAAAAATTTCCACTACGCAGAGGAAAAATCTGTTAAAAGCTGGTAATAAAATCTTGTGCGGGTAATAAATCGGACCATTGGAACCATGGTCCCAGCATGAAATTGTTACGTCTCTGTGGCGCTACTGGTACTTTGGTTGTTTTGGCAAATTACAGCTGACACGAAAAAAGTTTAATATAAAACCCACTAGTTAAAGTCATTATTGATGTATCATAATTTTTTCAATCACCGTGTAAAGGTACAAATATCTTCAGTTAAACTAAGCACTATAAGGGTAATGACGAGGTATAGTGACCGAAATTTTATAAAGTCCGTTAGTTAGATTTTTGAAAAATTATGGACACTTATTTTTTCTTTTGTCAATCAACCATAAAATGACAAAGATAAACCGTGTCAAGAGATAGGGTCGTGACGTCACTGTTAAGTTAAAATTGTACTAAGGCGTGACGTCATGCGACATTTCAAATCAATATATCTCTTTAGAGGAGGAGCTCGATGGCGCCAGTGGAAAGCGCGTTCGGCTGCGGACGTTGAAGTTGAGGAACTTTCACAGTGGTCGGTCATTGGATGGGTAACCAAAAATTTACTATCACGGGTTCCTCCGTGCTTCAGAAGGCACGTTAGACCTCGTTAGCATCCACGAACCCGCACTGGGCCCGCGTGGTGGGTCATGGCCCAATCTCCCTAATCCATCCATATAGAAGGCCTGTGCCCCAGCAGTGGGGACATTAATAGGCTGATGATGATGATATCTCTTTAATGTTTTGATTATGTGAAAAAATAAAAATACGTATACTTTTGATAATCTACCTGACGGACGAAAAAATAATGAGTCATCTTCCCTATTGTGAAGTATTCGTAACTAAGTCAATCCAGTGATTTTGCGACAAATGTAGGTACGAGTAAACAACTGTTGGAATTACTCACCATAATTAGTATGACAGTACTTCGTTGATTGTGCAATATGCATACATAGTTGTCTTCCTGTTTTTGATCCATCAAGTTAACCAACTGATTTTTATTATAATAAACTAATGTCTGGAACTAGGTAACTACTAAACCGATTTTGAAAGTTCTTTTGCCAGTAGAAAGACACATTCCTGACCTGAGTAATATGTGTAAGAAAGAGAAAGAAGAAGAAAGGGGAAAAAGCAGAAAGAAAATAAAGGTATTGCTATTGTTGTATTGCTTTAAAATTAATCTCGTCAGTTTAAAGATTGGCGAGTAGTATTTACCTTTAACAACTTTGTTTTGAAATTTTCTAAGTCAATGTCGTATGTTGGAAGCATTTGCTAACCTCTTCATTTTTAACAAGATAGTTGGGATTAAGTTATGGCAAGGGTTAGGAAAAACCAAACAAATATTAAAAAAAAAAATCAAAAACAACGGGGTGAGTAAGACGGAAATCGTCAATAACAGAGAGTCAATATTTGTGTAAAGTGTTTCTGTTACTTTCTGTAAGGTTTATGAGGTCTGGCCCAAAGTACAGATTAATTGCATGATTGATACAAATAGAGCTTAGATAGAGAAAAAAAAAACAAATATTATAAATAGAATATTTTTAAATGATCTAAAATGAAAATTTCATGTTTTTGCGAGCGGATGGATAATCTTATCTAGACTACTCTTACAATATTGTTAATAAAAATAGGTAGGTATCTGAAGAAAATATAACATTGATCAATTATGCTACCAGGGTCAGGGCATAATTGGTCAGTGCATTCGCCCGGATAGCGAAGGGTGCAGGTTCGAGTTCCGTCTGCTGTCTGGTCCGCGTGGAATTTTTTCTTGTTATATTTTCTTTAGATTTAAACATCAAGCAGTTACATGCTTCAAAAATAAAAATTATAACTATAGGTATCTTTAAGTTATAAGTAGACCGCGATAAACTTCCGCGATTTATCAAAATGCTATTTGTTTATGTTTGTAAACCAGTTGAGATGAACCGTTATCTCAATAACATGGGTCGCACGAACATAATACCCGATACCGTTTTATATACAAACATAATATTCACGCCGCATCATATTCCGTGAAACCGTTTTGTCTCGTTCCAAATCGAATTCGCGCGAACTCGCGAAACTATGTCATCGTCAAACTCTTTTATTATATTTTTTTTTATAATGAGTGTCCTTAAAGATTGTCCTTTCCGATAAAAAGGAAAATATCTGTTTCTGTTACGTACGACCCAGCCAGAAATAATTGTGATGGGTTTTTTACAGTTAAAGGAAATCGGTACTTCCCTTAAAACAGGTTTCCTTCTTTATTTTAAGCGCCGTTTTTAAGATACTTAATGAAAGTTGAAATCTAACTTCAATATAAAATGTAAAAATACTTTTCTTTTAAATTTATGAGCATTCAAATGTTTTATAATATGAATAACTTTAATGATTATTTATCATGGACTTCGTCAATCTTTTATTTCCTATATCTTTACAATTTTAGGTATTTTAATATTTTCCCAAGCTTACTTCCGTGGATGGAGCTGCTAATCAGCATTAATGCCTTTTACTAACGACGACAATTGGTACAATAATTTAATGACCACATTTGGTATAATTATTTTAATTTGCATGAATAACTAAAACAAAATAAAATAATTTGATAAACTACAAAATAAACAAATGTTACCTACATTTAGCATCGGCTTCCGACAAAAAAAGGGGGCTTATTCATCGTTCTTCAAATGCGCATGAGTGTTTTTCGCCTTAGATGAAACAAAATCTTGTACTTACCTGCCTATAAACGTCAATCGATCATCGTTACACATACGGGTATTATTTCCTTTTAATTTATCATTTATTTACTACTAACTCATCTGCCCCTATAAAATACAGGTATTTCCGGCTGGTGGGTACTCAGATTTTCCTTAATCGCGTTGTGCTTACTATAGTTTGCCTTATGTGTGTGTATAAAAAGTATTTTATTATTTTTGCTACGCTTAGTAATTCTCTGGCTCAGTCTGGCTTTGACCGCTGTGTGGAGTGATTGTGTTTTTTATAGTGAAGCTTATAAACCGGTAAGTGTTCTATTTATTTAAAAAGACAGAAAATTGCCAATCGTTTCGTGACGAATCTGTGTTGTTAATTTTTAACCAATAAGGTTTGTGACTTTGGTGACTATAACTCTTGTACCTACTGTTGCAATTAAAACTTTTTTTAATGTGATAATGTTTTGATTTGAGGATACTTCGATGTTCACAAAAAATAGGTAACAATGCTGTGTTTTTTTTCTTAATGCAATGATTGTGCTGTGGTAGAATCGTAGATAATTAGTGTCTTGTAACTAGGAACATAAAATAGTGATTTATCTATTCGATCCGTGTAAGTCAAGTTCAGATGATTGATCAAGTTTTGACCTCGTCTACAACTTAATTGTCCATACATAACAAAACAGAATGGTACAAAATATTTGTGAGCATATGAACCAATCTATGTTGGGTACATTAAAAATGACAGCATTTTTTTTAATAAAGTGGAGTTTGATAAGGTTTAAATTTTATTTGAAAAATTCAACTTTAATCTGTACGATATCTTTAATGCATAGAGTCACTAACTAACATTATTTTAATTGTTTTTCAATATACCTACCAACCCGTTTAAATTACCTGCTCGATATAGAAATATAATTTACAAAAGACCAGATTGCCTTTGAATCAATCATGACATTAAGAGATACCTAACAGACGTCACAATTTAATCGTTTTATTAAAAACTTGATATCAGAAGCGCTCAATTTTATTTCTTTTTTTTTGCAGAGGCACAAATAATGTTTACAAACATCTTGTTTTTGGCGATGTCATTGACCTTGGCGACGGGTCAACGGCCGTCCTTCGCGGGGAGCAGACCCATTGGTTTCCCTGAAATTATCACAACTACAACAGAAGGATTGGGGAACAGGTGAGGACAACCAACGTATTTAGATAGATAGATAAATTCTTTATTGCAAACACACAAAATAATACAAAAAAGTAAACAATAACATAATGTGGGCAAAGGCGGCCTTATCGCTTTAAGCTATCTCTTCCAGACAACCTTTGCGGTAAAAGATTGCTAAACGAAGAGGAAGTTGTAGTATGCCAGCAAGATAAAACAAAGAAATATACATATTTTCTTGAACATATAAAGATATCTAAACAAATAAATTAAATACACCTACACAAATATGTGTATATACACATACACATTATACATTATTATAAACATATTTATAGATACAGCAGACTAGGATCAAGAATATAATCAATTTTAGAACTAACAAGAATTTTATGACTAGGTACAACAAATTTGCGTCGTTTGTTTTCTGATAACAGTCGACCTATTCAAAAACAATATTTCTGGGACTAAGCCCACAGTCTTATCAGTGGGTAGGTACCTCTTGATAATCCTACTCGCCTGATTACTTTGAAAAAGAATGAAATGGTCAAACTTCTATCTTGCCGTCAATAGTGTATTTCTTTTAACTAGCAGATCACTTTACTCATTTAAACCTAAGACAATATCCCGGTCAGCTGACCGACACCATCCATAGAGCAACACGGCCGACGGCCAACCCGACACGTATTTTGAGGACCAAAGTCCCCAGAAAGCTTGCCGATTTATGCTATATATATTTTTGCCGAGATCCTTTTTAGGTTTAGGTCCGTCTCATTTCATTTCATTTCACTCGTCGAGTAAAACAATTTGTTTAGCGTTTAAACAGGTATACTTAGGTTACCTACAGTGCGAAAAGATGGTACTGCCTTGCATCCTAAGAGAAATTCTACACGGCCATTAGGGCCGCGGTAGCATAATAGTAAGTGCATCCAAAAGGAAAGCAGAGGGTTCGAGTCCCGTCTGCTGCGTGGTCCGCGAGATTTTTTTTCTAGTCAAATTATTATTTCAGTTAAATGCTTAAATAATAAAACATAACTAGGTATACTTAATATTTGTCATTTAGATATTCAGTCAGTGTCACACTTAAGCCACTTTTATTGTTGGGTCTTGGGTCGACATTAAAATAAGTAATATAATATAGTTTATAATAAATAAAAAAATTAAGGTATCCCAATTAGCCAATAAAATTTACCGAAGAAACTTAATCGAAAATTCCAAGGTTTTTTTTCACGCCCTGTTCAAGTGTCCACATTCAGCTGCTCACTCATCACACATGATAATGTTAGGAAGGAATTGGTATATCCCATTATCAACCTATACCTAAATAAAGACCCCTACAATCATAAAATATCCTTTTCAACACATTTGCTCAAAAAAATCATTAACGGAGATTTTATACATTGCTCGAAAGTTCAAAACGAGCCATTCAACGCACATGCTTTTTTGTATTAGTGCTTCCAAGAACATTTGACCAAAATTTAAAAAATAAAAACAATTTTCGAACAATGTACAACCTTCGTTAATGCTTTTTAGAGCAAACGTCTTGAAAATAACTTTATTTTAATGATTACAGATTCGGCGAAGGGGATGGCTCCACCACAACTGTAAGATTGCCCGCAGAAGCCAACGGCGACAAAGATCTAGTAGACCGGCTGAGCAAGTTGCCCATAGACCAGCAGCCATTCTGGTTCATAAACTGGCAAGCGTATGAAGCCCACAGACAGAATCCTCAAACTTACCCACAGAAACCCAATGTTTTTATCGACCCACCCAGCGGGAACACTATGAACTTCAACCCTCCCAACAACAATATGAACTTCTATCCATCAAGTAACAATGTGAACCCATCTTTCAATCCCGGAAGTCAACAGGGGAACAGCAACGCCAATACTGGCCTCAGCAACCGTTTCAACACAGATTCCAATGTGCCAACTACTGTTAAATCCGAGACGCAAACCAAACCGCCAGAATATACGTTTGCGAACGGCCAAACACAGACCAAGCCGCAAGAATACATAGTTGTAAACGGAGTTCTTTATCAAATCGCGAAGTCTCAAACAACAAAGCAGTGATCTGAACGACGAAAAGGACACAGAAAATACGAACATTTAAGAGAACGATTTAGTATCTTATTGCCTAGTTGTTGGGGCCCCTTATCACATTGACTTAATTAAAATAATACTCGTTCGATACTATTGTTACAATAAGTATGGCGCAGCCATCCATTCAATTTAGAAGATTTAAATCTTTTAACATGGAATAAAATTTGGTATATAATTTAACTGAAAACAAATAAAAAAAAGAAATAAAAATGCATTTTCAAAGTAATAAAACCATTATATTGACTTTTTTTTAATAAATAGAACTTAATTACTAAGCGTAACCTTACAACTAATACCTTGCAAAGAGGTATAATAATAATAATAAAAAAACACGCGAAATGAGTAATTACTATCCACGCGAGAACAATTTTGACTCGGATCACTTCGTTTCAAAATGCGGTCCCTACAACTACCTTCGACATGAAATATCTATACATAAATAGCCGCAAGTTCTAATTGTACACAAATCCTATAAAAATACACTGTTGTAGAAACAGATTACAAAAAAGAGCCAAGAAAACACAGCCCTAATGATTATTAACCTATAAATTGCAATATTCTTAGAAAAATAGAAAACTAAGAGAGAATATTGTCATAATTTTTTTTAGCTTTTTTACTACAGCTTGACTGCATTGAAATTCGGAAAGAAATATTTAGACAAAGGAAGATTAAGGCCGAATTGCTTGATACTTAAATTTGACTAAAGTCAATGTCACGTCACATACATAGTAAAATGTGTAAAATTTTGACAAATGTTTACTTTTTTACAGTATTTTAACTTTAGTCTCAAATGCGACAAGGCAATAGCTAAATAGCTATGTATCAAACAACGCGGCCTAAGAAAGGTTTTCTTTTCAAAATCATGACATAAAGTTTGGTATATAAAGTTCAAAACTGAATAAAATTTACAAGCAACCAACTCAGATTAATAAAAGTGAAAAAACATATTAAATGCATCCATATGTGTCATAAAAATGTCCACAAATTGTTTAAGCGTACTTTATTACATCGAAATGATTATATCTCGTGCCTATATTCATATTTATTTATTCGACAAAATACATTCTATCCCTCTCACACAATTATCCTAACGGAATGTGCGAGAGGGACAGAATATATTGTATCATAATTTCCGATTAGTTTCTTTATTAGCGCGAGTTATACAAAGATTGTTTGCCACTATGAGTTTTAACTTTTAAGGCACTACAGTGCCTTACACTTAAAGGCAATTCACTTGTTTTCAAAGCACCATAAAAATGTATAGCATAGGAAAATATTTTGTTCACAAATAAGTATTGAGATTCTTAGTAAATGTACATAGATACATGCTTATATAATTCACATTTAAATTAATTATTGCATTGATGATAATTCATATAAAAACGCTACACCTTAAAAATCTAGATTTTTGTCACAAAACTATTCATGTTAATTTGAACCTTGCTCTCAAACTAATACAGTTCATTTCTTTTTAATCAATGATCATTTTAAGGCATGGCCAATTTTAAAACATTGTGAATACTGCATGAAAAACTTTAGGAAAAAATAAAAATACTAAACAAAGGAACGCTAATATGACTTCTAGTAATCTATTTTAATTTTAAAATGTTTTTCTCTCATCCAAATAGCAAACTTACATGTGGATAAAACTTTTACAATTTTACCCAAATGTAAGTTTCTGCATAAAATACACATTATACACACACACATATTCGCATACTTCACAAAACACAACCATAATCTTATGTCAATAGCACATCAGGTTACCGAAGATTTTGTTCTTTATGCCAAATACATTAAGGTTTAAAAATATTTGAAGCATTTTGATACCCTGAGTAACCTGATATGCTGATAACTGTGGGAAACTTTTAAAAATAATGGAATAAGCGCATCAGTCAGAAACACAGAAATCTATCAAAACCAGTTAAAATACCACTACTTGGTAGTTACAGTTTGAAGAATAACTTAAAAGAACTAGAAGTTTCTAAAAATGAGCAATATCTCATTCATAAGTACTCAAAATCACTTAAAAACACAAACATTCACATCCATACATTACAAAAGTAAAAAAAAAAACTGTCGACACAATATAGACGTAAAAACCTTTGGTTCAAAGTCCATTACAGCTTACCAACTCTTGACAGATAACAAAACTGGGTTATTTATGTATTTTATTTGTGATCGTTGCCGGAATTATAAATAAATAGTACGTAATCGGCTAAGTATGATAAATTTATCAACAAAAATATACAGAATTATAATATAACAATGTGCATCTCAAAACTGTGGCATTAGTAATCCTGCATTGCAAAATGATACCTTTGCTAAAGACATAAAGTCTATTATTGTAAAATTATTTCGCTATGCAGCTTTTACAAAATGCCGCGACAACGCGTCCACGACTTCAGTTAACAGCAATACTGGCAATGACCAAAAAACAAAAAACTCTTCATCATTAAATTATAAACATTCAAACAAATTATGATACATAATTTGGTAAAATAATACTATAAATCAATCTGTTTTATAAGAACTGCTCACTGATTGCATAAACATTCAAAACGAAAAAAAAAACAACAGGGAAACATCATTGGTGTACTCTTTTTTTTATGTTTTACTTTTTTATTACCGCGCGACGATAATGGCTATGCATACAGCCAAGATGGCCGCAAGATAGAAGGGTTTTTTGGCATTAGAATTATTTGCTTTAGTCACCGATGGAAGCCTCATGCTTTTATAATGGCAGGATTTCTCCGCTGTCTCGTTGGTCTGCAGTTCATTGTACGTCGGGTAGTTCTGAATTTGTATTGGCTGTAAAAGAAAAATAAATATAAGTTTATAATGAATTTTCTACAATCTTTTACCAAATTAAAAATACGATTACCATTGTCCGTCTTATTTTAATAGATTTTTAATAGTTTATGACATTAGGGCTGAATGGTCAATTCCGTTGTATTGACTAATTAAAATTGGATAATCTGTCTAACAATAACATATAATACACTTTATCATCATCAGTCTGTTAATGTTTCTACTATTGGAGTCTTCCTTGTGGATGGAATAGGGAGATTGGTAAATGAGCCACCACGCGGGCCCAGTGCGGATTGGTGGGGACTAACTACTGCAGATGCCGGACCCAACGGCTTAATACCTTCCGAAGCACGGAAATAGGGATCGTAAATTTTTGATCACCCATCTGATCGCAAACCGGAAGCGCTAACATTAGAACACGTCAGACCTAAAAAGATATCCATCCATATTAATATTATGAACACGAAAGTGTGTCTGTCGGTTAGAAACTTCTTCGCAATTAAACCGCTGAGACGAACGAGATGAAATTTGAAAAAAAAAGAATATCTTTAGTCCCTGGACAGGATATGGAATAGTTTTTATTCTAGAAACCACCCTTTAAAAAGGGGTGGAAGTTGGTACGGGACACTAATTTTACCACGCAGACGAAGGCACTAGAATTTTTAAATAAAATATACGTAAAACTCACCGCCCCCCAAGTGTCGTCCCGTTTCTTGCAGAACGTCATATGCATTCCCTTGTACAGAGTTTTCTCAATTTGTTCCGTCAATAAAGACTCCGACCAAGGCATCTCGTTTAAATGCGCCATGAATGTCTTGTTCCGGAATTCGGCTGGCTCACGTATGATTAGCTCTTCTGTAGAAAAACAACGAAATAAAGTTTTAATACAAAACCTACTATTAGTTAGCATAGATAACGATGCAATAAATAAAAATAGGGATTGTCACCCAAGAAATATATGTAACTGTAAAAGCCCGAATATAGGTCAACCTTCGGTTTTACCAAATGATACTACATATGTACTTCACATGCGTTAGTCTACTATTAGAATTTAGTGAATGCTAGATTTTACCACAGTGGGCTGGTAAATGTTAGTTTTGAGAGTAAAACGATTCTTAATGGATCCCTATTAACTAATAGTTAAACCTTACATGTTTTATGAAGGTATCATATCATAATAGTTTATGGATCATTTGTCTTACCAATTAGTCAAATCATAACCTATTTTAAATTATTTTTATTTGGTATTATATTGTAAACAGAAACATGATTCGCTTTGAATTTGATTTGAGAACTTTGATGCAGGTGGGTCTAAGGTAGCATTTGCTAAAACTCGATTCACTAAAACTAGCTTTAATTCAAAGAAAAATATCAAAACGTCAATGTCGATTTGATATTATTGTATGGGCTAAATCTTGTATTAGTTAAATAGAGATTTAGCAAAGTTGCAAGTGGACCTTAATTATAAATTCTTATGTGAAGTATTAATTTTTAAAGTATATTTTATAAGGTTTTGAATTAAAAACTAATAATATTCATCAAAAACTTACTCATCAAACCGACACCTTGGTCGTCTCCTTGCATCACGGTCTCCTCGGAATATTTGAGCTGCATATCAGATTCCAGCTGAGGTGGTAAGTTCTCCAAGTTCCTGAATACAAAATAAGGAAACAAATTGTAAAATTAAAGGAGTTAACATTATATAAAATGTGAGTATATGATCAACATCCAAGACTTTATTATGATGCAGAAAAAAACTATACATAATGTTGGTCAATGACATATTATAAAGTACATAGTAACTGTCCGTATAGTTGTTAGCAGATCAAACTATGCAATAGATTTTCAACAGAGGGTCTAAAATGGTGACAATCTATTAAAAAATGGCAACGTCGCCATTAAGTTTCATTTATGAATTTTCGTCAATTCGACATTAAAGACAATTTAATGGCCTCAAGAAAATGTGAAAATAGCCTTAAAGAAAAAATATCACTTTTTAACCATACCTAACTGTCAAAAACCCATGGTTCCGTGACATTTTAAAACCTTGATCTATGCTCGCTAATGCTAGGTGTAGTACATGCGAAAAAAGATCAATAAAAACCTCCCGGATAGCGGAAGGCGCAGGTTCGAGTCCTGTCTGATACCTGGACGAAGTGAATTTTTCTAATAAAATTTTCTTAGATTTTGATTGATTTGATTATATTTATGAAATAAAATTCTTACCCAGACGAAAGGAATATATTCTCCACTTGCATCATGGTGAGGGCATAGAACTCCTTCACTCCGAAAGTTTCGAAGAACTCTTTGACTGGAGTCATCGAGTAGCATCCAGCTAATTCCGTACGGGGGTAGTATAATACGAAGGACAGACACATTTCCTGGTGGAAAGAACAAAATAAATAATAATAATAATATTCTTTATTGACATACACCTCACAGGACATACAAGACAGTAAACATGACAGTGTAAACGTACACAAAAGGCGGCCTTTTTGCTAAACAGCAATCTCTTCCAGGCAACCCATGACAGTGAAATAAATAAGAGGAACAAGAAGGGGAGTGTAACAGGTATGGTAAAATAAATAATTATAGTCTACAAAAGTCTACGAAAGTACTTAAATAATGTTGAATCTTTCTATCAACCATGTAATAAAACCACTTCTAACATATAAAGTCTTTTTTAATACTTTAACATCTCTTAAACATTTTGCTAGAAAAGAGTCCACGCGGACCAGGCAGTAGACGCGGGACTCGAGCCCGTACCCTTCGCTGTCCGGGCGAATGTACTGACCATTATGCTATCGCGGCCATGGTGGCCGTGTCAAATTTTCTCTAGTATTTCTTAGGCTGCAAGGCAGCGCCATCTCTTCGCATTGTAGGTAGGTAAAATTGTGGGGAGCATCATGGTCAGTGCATTCGCCCGGATAGCAAAGGGTGCGGGTTCGAGTCCCCTCAGTTGCTTGGTTCGCGTGTTTTTTTTTTTAGTAAACTTTCCTTTGGCTTTTAACATCTAGCAAATAAATCCTTTAAAAAAAATTGTTTCCCATATGTACAAATTTTCACTTCCTTCATACCAGGATAAACCATTATGTCCTTCCCCCAAGACTCAAACTATCTCTTTATCAAATTTCATCTAAATCGGTTTAGCGGTTTAAGCGTGAAGAGGTGACAGACAGACATACTTTTACAATTATAACAATTATAATATCAGTATTGATAGAGACAAATGTCTTCCTTCTAAAATATTTTAAATATATTTATTGTTTTTCGTTCTATCCCATACAGCCCGAGCTTCCCAGCAGCTTAATAATTTTAGTAGATACGTACTAAACTAGGTCAGTACTAAAAATTAGCATTAATATATTTGATGGATTCGGATTTTAAAAACTCTTTATATTAATCACAATGTTTTTAAGAATACTGACCTGTGACGCCGAATAACCACCTAAAATTGGTTTATCTCTAGACGTACTGTCGTAAGTACATTCCGTGATCAAAGTGTCCCCTTTCATGAATTTCCTTCCACCGGCAACTATGCGAGATTGTTGATAACGGGCGTCATACGAATTTTCCTAAAAAAAAACAAAAGAAAATTAAAATTAGCTGGGAAATTTCTTTTAGCGCCATCTGTAGACGTTTCTTTGTACTATTTTTCTAAAAAGTACGAACTATTCAGCGCCACCTATTGACACACAGCACAACTACTCCATTTGTTATGGACAGCACTATTCGTTGTTAAGAGACTAATGTTAGTTTTTCCTTTTTAGTAACGATGGCGCTACAATGAAAGCGAAGAACCGAAATTATAGGAACTCCAAAACAATACCTTCTTGAATACTAAGTACTTCGTTGGTAGCCGTTTACTATAATTTAGTACGAATTTAGCATTAAATACTCGATTTAGTACGGACATTTTATTCAATATCTTACATACCTCAGATATAACAGGTAGTTCTTGAGTTCCTCGTACATGTTTCAAAGATATTTTTCTAGCTGTTCCATGAGCGTGAAGTAAAACAGAAACTATGTTTATCCCGTGGGTTGGCATTGTCTGAAATATGAATAAAAAATAGAAAACATTTAGAATAGGTTTGTTCGAACGAATGATGTGGGTGGCATGCTTGGGTTTATGTCAGTTGGTTGTTGAATTTAAACTATCTAAATATCTGTATAATGTTAGGGAACACAGTGTGGGTGTTGTGGGTGTGTGTTGAATATAAACTTGTCTCAATCAGTGTCAGATCGTATCATTTTATAAAATAGTATACATTAGAGTCATTATTAGATACTTATAACTTTCATTACTTTAGCTTTTCTGAATAAAAGATTAAACAAGTAATCAACAGGATGTTTAAAAATCTAAAGTGCGCTTTATTTCGCCAATTTAAAGAACTGACGCTACCTACCACGAACGCATTTTTTTAGGAACAGGATAGGCAGACACATTTGTTTGTTTCCTTATTAAAACTAAATAACTAATTAGAGTATAAGCCTAGCTTTGCTTGATGTCGATAAATTACCCAATCACCCCAAAATTAGAGAGGGCACGAACAAAAAGTTTTTTCGTATTCTTATACATACTTAGTAATAACAATGAAAATATCTACTACTTTAGCTGTCCTTCAACTTGCCAAACTTTGTTTTTAAAAACTTAATAATAAAGTCAACATACACATTATTTTTTTTCGGTTTTTCGATAATTTTTGTATAACCGAGTTTTTTCTATTACTTATTTTTTTCAATAGTTATCCATTTAGTAAAATTTCTTGGTGAGTTACTCACGTTCTCAGTGCACTCCGGGCTGCATATCCCCACGGTTCTGTATTGGCGCTGTTTGGGAGGGATCACGTGTAGGGCGGACACTCCGACCCCAGCGCCTAGTAGGGCAGCGTCGTGCGCCCTCAAAACCGGAGTGTAATATACCCGGATACCGGAACTGTCTAGCACTGGAAATAAAAAAATCGTGTTGTAAAAAACGAGTGAGCCTTACAGTAGTCACGTATAATGAGTAACATTTGAAACCTCACCTTATATTAGTAAAAAAAGAAATAAAACCTACTACAAAAGGAATAAGCGATTAGAACATTATGTTCTTAAATCAAGTAGCGCGCGCTTTCGCGACTTCTTGTTACACATTTCCGTCCCATTTCACGAAATCACACCCACAAAATGCAGGAAAGTGAGAGGAAAGAGGTTACACATCAAAAACCCCTTTTTGAAAAACCAGATTTTATTAAAATTCTCTGGACAGAAGATAAGTGAAGACAGACGTTCGTTCGTTGTTTATCCGCATTCTTCTGGTAAAATAACAAGTGAGGGTGTGTGGTAGCAAATGAGGCAAAACATTTCAATAAGGTCATCATTTTTATAAACCCACAAGTTTCTTATGGAAAATTATTAAATATTCCCCAAAAAATAGTAATTAATCACCTAAAAATTCAATTGATAACCAAAAGATTAGGTTACCAATATATTTTTTTGGGATCATTTACTATTTATTGATCCGTTTCTTATGCTTTAAAAACAAAAAATATAATATATTTAAAAAAGAAATTAATAAATAATATAACGTGTAGCAGTTCCAGGAGCGAATTAGTGAACCAAAAATAAAACACTGTTGTTTCCGTATTACCCAATAGAATGATCTTATCTGCCTCTATTTCGGGATGTTAGGTACATGGAATAGCCCGTCTTTCTAGTTCCATTTCACGTCGTTACATGAAACTAAATGAGCCCAGTCTGTGGGTTATTTGCTCGTTTCTTACTATATTGTTACTTACCCTAATCAATTAACAACTTTTTTGTTTTATATATATATTAAAACTAGTGTAGTTTTAATTGGTTTTGTACTAAATGAAATGTTTTCTGTGGTGTCCAAAAAAGCGTTTTGTATTGTATTGTATGTTGTGAAAACCACGGATCTTTAAAAGGATGCCAAGCCGTAATAAATCGTGTTTAAAGAGGGGAAGGGCGCATTGTTTTTTCCATACAAACGTTCTCGACTGATCCCTCCTTGGTTTTAATCACTAGAGAAATGATTTTCATATATAAAATATAGTTTTACTCATTCTATGCTTCTATGTGTTTCTTTTTTCGATAACTTGTGTTTCAAAGCAAGAAGAAGCCCTCGAAATGCCAAAAATAAACAAATTTTTATCACCACTAAAGACGTCTAGTGTTGAGATTCAATGAGTATTTACTAAAAAGCGAAATAAAGAGGCCTTGTTTAACTAAGGTAATTGCGTCTAATAAGGGCCGGGTTTTTGGAAATCGAAATAAATCAATGTTTGGAAGTGTGATAATTAGTACGACGTCATGATCAAATAAACTGTTTTTATTTGAAAAGAAAACGTTGCACAAAAACAACACACGAATGACCATTTATTTACAAAAAAAGTTTTTTAAAAGCTTGTTTATGGTCCTTATTGTGTACTAGGGCTCGAATTAAGGTCCATGATTGAACTGCAAGATTTCAGACGTTAAGTATCAGAAAAAATAAATCTTTAGATAGCAACGGCTTTAAACTACTTTCAACTTCATGGCTTTCCAATATTAAAACGGTAATTCATATAATTTAGTATTGTGGCCCTTATAAAGTCATACGAAATATAAATAAGTTGTAACTTATATATTTTCTATCTATAAATGAAACAAATTGAAGGTTTGTGCAAATTTTTATTAATTTTACGAAAGACAATCACTAAAAGTTACTAATGAGTTATTTTTTCAGTCTTAATCTTGGGACCTTATTAGGTATAACACTTATTTAATCATAGTGTGGACCTTATTAAGTGTTTTTAACAGGTAACACGGTAACCACTGAACTTAAAGGTTCAGTGTGTATATACTTATCCTTATTAAATATATTTTCTATTCAGTAATCAAAATAAACGTATATAAATACCACTTGCTAGGCCAGGCTGCTTATTTAAACTCATATAAGTAATTTATGTAACTGATCATGCCTATTTTAAAATATCGTAAACCAATAAGGGCCGGCCCTTATTTGTAGACAACAACTTGGACCTTCTTAGGCAATCACATGTGTCCTGAGAAAATGAAACAAATTTTAGATAAATAAGCAATAATTTTAGTAACTTATCCCGTCAATCCACGTTCTGAAAATATTTTAACATTACTATTGCAAAATTATTACATAACACCGAGTTTTATTACTGAAACAAAGCAAAATTGGATCAGAATATTTTATTCGTTCAGTCACGTCGCACCTGAGGTTACACACAGAGCCACTGCCAAAATGGCCGGCGCGGAGGCAATGAACGTCGGTGCGCTTTTATGATTGGTTACTGGGGAGGCGCTGCGCAAAATCAGTTTGGGTTTAAATATTAAGTGCGGGAAGTTTGAAAAGATGGACCTTATTTGGAACCTTCCCTTTTTAGGCGCACTTACCTTACTTATTATTCTACGGGTAAAATTTATTTTACATATATCTAGTTTTAACTTTCATGGTCATTAACATTATAGCTATTAACGGGATTGTTACCATGTACCTTGTTTTTTATGACTCTCCGATATTTCGGCACTGTTGCAAGCGCCATGATCACGGAGTAACTGAAGTAATTGCGCGTAGATGTTATTGGCAGACATATCGGTCTACCCTCTGACGTTGTCTTTTACTGCGCTCGATACCCCTACCATTGGTCACATTCTCACTATTCACTCGCACCTGTTCCCGACACACAATACTCACAGTATCAGATCGCAGAACGACACTTTTTTTATTTTGACGGTTTGTACACATACGAACCAATGGATTCCAGAAACTTGACAATTTATACCCATCCTCACGATTGAAAATTTTGTGTTTAGTTATTTCAATCGCTTCCCTGACCAATCTTGGTATGTAGTGGCGTTCTGTCGAGATGATTTGTGGATTATGGAGCTCAATCCAGTGATTAGGACCAGAATCGATTAAATGTTCCGCGATAGCCGACGAAATGAAAATGAAATGATATGATGAAAAATGATACGCAAAAATCAGCTGTCTATCGAACTGGACTCATAAAAAACAAGGTAAATGGTAACAATCCCGTTAATAGCTATAATTCATACATCTTATTTTCCAGGAGGAAATCGTCGAGAGCCAAACCCTCGCAATTTTCAGTGTTAGCTACTCTTGTCCCTATCGCACGGTATTTACCAATGCGCGACAGCAATGGTTTTTTCAAATACCTCATATACTCCTATTTCTCAAATTTCTCTTAGCTCGCGTCAGCTCTTAAAATGTGTATCATATGTGCCAGTTATTAAGTTTTTTTTTAATATCTATACTTATAATAAATCTGTAGAGATGTCAATTCTGTACATGAAATATATTTTTAAAATAACTATCAGGGGGTGATTAGTGATCGATACTGATGCCAAAAATGCAATCAGTAAATTTTTTGTCTGTCTGTCTGTCTGTGTGTATGTTCCTTATAGAAACAAAAACTACTCAACGGATTTTAACGAAACTTGGTAAAATTATTCTTCATACTCCTGGGCAGGTTATAGTATACTTTTCATCACGCTACAATCAGTAGGAGCAGAGTAGTGAAGGGAAATGTTGGGAAAACGGGAGAAGTTACTCCATTTTTTAAGCTTCCGTCGCGTGTGCAGCCTTAATGATTAAAGTTACATAGAAATCATGTATGACGGAAATATTCTACATAAAATTGTCTAAAAAATATCCCGCAACAGCATATGTCTATCTTTTATGGTTGACTCACAATAACACGTGTAACTCCCGATAGCTTAGCAGTTCGGAGCATTCTGATCATATTTGTTTACTCTTACGTTTATAATACTCGGTATAGAAACACCAAACTTATACATGAAATAAGCCATCGCGCCGTCTCACGTGAATACTGAATCATGCTATAAGGATTATTTTTGTGTAACGGTTGCCGCGCTCGACACGGGTCGCGGCAGCGGTAGGGTATCAAAGGTCCGAGAGCGAGCTGTCTAAATCTGTTTTCTGCGTCGCTCCCCCCCTGGGGGACGATCGCTTCCGATGAAGCCTTAGAGGCCTTCCCGGCCAGAGGCAGCCCCTACGGGTGTTTTTTAGTCAGTACGAGTCTGACATAACCTTGCAGCCGGCTGTAGGGTATCCATGAGGATTTCTCATCTGCTCCCCCGCCTGGGAGACCGAAACCGTGCTTATAAGCGCGACTTTTAGTCTTTAAATAGTTTATTTGAATTTCTTTTGTTGTTATTTTGTAAAACAGGTATTAGTTGTTTTGGTAGTGTTTAAATATTCGTTCAAATTAAAAATTATTAAGCGTAGGTACTTTTATTAATTAAAGTAGTTATAAGTATTTATTTTTAAGTGAAGGAGGTATAGGTAGATAGTATTGCACAGGCGTTTCAGCTTTATTTTCATTTCTTTTTTGTTGTGAGTTGTATATATGTCTGGTTATAATTCTATAAGAATATTTTAGTTCAAATAGTCACTTAGATTTTATGTGTAAGGTAGCTAAAGTTAGGACCACGTATTAGTTGTTTTGGTAGTGTTTAAATATTCGTTCAAAGTGTAATTTAATCATATAGGATGAATGTACGATGGCCTATCGAAAAGGAGTAGAAGCGGTAGACAGAACTTTAAGGGAAATAAGACAAAATGATCGACCACTGGGCGGTATCACAGTTTTATTTTGTGGTGATTTCCGACAAACCTTACCGATAATACCACGGGGAACCCGAGCTGATGAGGTTAGGGCTTGCCTGAAAAGCTCTTATTTGTGGCGTGATATACAATCGGTGCATTTGACTATAAACATGCGAGTGAGAACTGTAGATAACCCGGATGATCATGAATTTTCTGATATATTATTAAAGAAAATACCTTCACCAAAGATACCTATCCACTGCTACACCAAGGAAAACTTATTCTGACGCCTGAGTTATGTTGTATAGTGCAATCCCAACAACATCTTACATCGTCAGTTTACGGTGACGTAACAAATATATTAAATAAGAACAATTCTTGGCTATGCGAAAGGTCCATTTTAACTCCTCGCAATGACCAGGCATCTGAGATTAATAAAAAAATACTGTCGAATATCCAGGGGGAAAGCAAAGTTTATAGTTCAATAAATAGAATGGCCGATGAACAAGAAGCCACTAATTACCCGATAGAATTTTTAAATTCTTTAAATATGCCCGTACTTCCTTCTCATGAAATTTGTTTAAAAATTGGCATTCCGATTATTCTGCTCCGAAATTTAAGACCACCACAAATTTGCAATGGAACTCGGCTTAAAGTAACCCAGTTGCAACAAAATGTAATCGAGGCTCAAATTTTAATAGGTTGCGGTGCAGGAGAAACCATCTTTATTCCCAGAATTCCCATAATACCAAATAATTTTCCATTCCAATTTAAAAGAACGCAATTCCCAGTATCGGTGTGTTATGCAATGACAATAAATAAGGCTCAAGGGCAGACCTTTCGTGTTGTTGGGAGTAGATCTCGGTGTCAGTTGTTTTTCACATGGTCAGTTATGTCGGTCTTTCCCGGGTTAGCAGTCCTAGAATTTTTTATGTTCACGTTCCGGACGGGTCAAATTTCAACGTAGTCTACCCGGAAGCTTTGCGCTGAAGTATTTTCATTCTATATGTACTTAAGACTCATGTGAAAGCGATCTAAACAATATTACCAATACATTAACATAATAACATACAAGGAGTTACACGCTGATGGTCTCGGGGCACAGTGATAATAATAATATTCTGCGGTTCCTTATTGCGATATTTTTAACAGTATTATATTTCCCTTCTAAAATACGAAAGTTAATCTGTCTGTCACATCAAAACCACGGAACCCTGAGGAAGGACATATGCTTTTTTACGAAAAACGACGATAACGCGGACGAAGTCGCGGGCAAAAGCTAGTAATTAATAAAATTATTAGTAATTGACTTATACTGGAGGTCAAAGTAAATCTAGACATCTACCTATCGTTAATCCTGAGCTCATAAACATATTTTTCTTTTGAAGTTAGACTTAAACTTAATACATAAAACCAAATTAACAGAGAAGAATCAGAACAATAATCACATTATTATAACTGTCAAAACGTTTTTGTTTTTTTTTATAACTTTCTTTGTTCGACTTTCTTAATTCTTCACCCTATACCCGGGCCGCCTCAATGACTTCGGTTCCAAAAAAACTTTTGACCGTGGGCCTCAAATTAATTATCGGTTTCGGTCTGAGGCGCATTTTGTAAGCGATGCTTGTACGGATTAGGCATTATTTAGAAACATCTAGTGACGTCACAATACTCTCTTTGACAGTATAAAAAATAAAGTACCATTTTTGGCATGTGTATTTAAACTGAATTGGGAGCAATTTTACTATTGTGACAAAAAAAGTAGTTTATCATAATATAACTAAAAATCATGAAATTGAAAAGTATTTTTTTTGTCGATTGTCACATGACCGAAAACGCCAAGGATTGGCGAAACCTAAAATGACGTCACCTGCTTGTATACATGTTGCTCAAGTGGCATTATTTTGTACTGTTTGACGTTTTGATGAGAGCCGAGTGACGTCACCTGCCTGTGGACATGCCATATTTGGTAGAGAAGCGTTTCCGCGGCATATTTGTAAACACTTTTTTTACTGTTATATGCAACTGAATTAGAAATATCCATATATTCGACGTTTCTTTATAAGGAGACTCACCTTCATGCAGCGCCTGGTTATCGTAATGAACCTCCAGCATGTAGTAGGAGACGCCCCCTTTCTCGCCTAGAGGTATTCCGACATTCTCGGGCAGGTATTCGCCTGGAATTAATTAAGCAATGTTATGTAACAGTTGGATAAATGTTGGCCTATTTACTTACCTATTGTGCAAATAAGCCGCTTTAACCTCACGAGGTTACGTAGAATGTGCCATGGGCGACGAGAGAGCACTTATATAGTCTCATTGTTTGATTTATTGCAGATTTTAATTGATATTTAGCTGGATTTAAGTTTCCAGGTTAAAAAAAAAGCTGGGAACCGAACTTGGACCCCGCCCAGGTACAGGCGAATTTTCTACAACTGAACCTCCGATGCTTGTTAATAAGATCTGAATTTATTAATAACCATAAAAATTAAATGGGACCGATGAAAGAAAAAATGTGTCGATATAAAAATAGTAAAAGCTTTACTTTAAAAATATATAAGTGGCCTTACTGCTGTGGCCTGGGCCATGAACTAGGTAGATCGGGGCCATAGATAACGCAGGACCAATGCGGATTGGTGAGTTCTAATTACTGAAGATGCAGCCGGAACCTACAGGAAATTATATCTACTGACAAGGTGTCGGCAATTCCCAAGTGATTAGACTTCAGTAGAAACAGAAAACATTATACATTATGCCTTAAACAATCGTGATTCTGATTTCCATAAAAGGCTTTGCTATATTATTGGGACTTAACATTATATTATGTCTGATCCCAAGATAGCAAAGCAATTATTGTTCAATAAATATATAATTTTAAACTGTGTATATAAAAGGCAAATGTTACTGTATGACTGATCTATCAACATACAGCTCAAACCACTGAAAGGATTGCGCTGAAATTTGGCACACATATAGCTAAATATAAAGAAGGATTTTTCAAAACTCACCTCCTAAAGGGATTAACAAATGAGGAGCTGGCGAACAAAACGGTATAATTACATAAAATAAAATTTTACAGGAGCTGTATAAAGCTGAATGACATACCAAAGGTCACCTTTTGGCATGGCTTTGAATTTATAAAGATCAATGTCAGATTCTGACTCACAAAACTTTTAACTATAAAATGGCACGGACACATGTCTTTTACATACAACAAGAAACATAAAAAATTCGAATGTTTAAAATTACATTTATCTTTTTTCGAGAACTTCTCCAATAGAATTTATTTATTAATAAACAAATAACTGACTGGAAATTTAACAAAAACAAATTGAGTTGCTATTTTGTTTCTCTCTGATTTATTGCAATAAAAAGAAAGAGACAAGGAGTTCCGAGAAACGCACTGGCATTGATAACTGATGTGATATACAGCAATAGTGAATTTGAATCAGTAGTTTATTGCATTCATTAAAATGATTCGAATAATCATCGAAATGTATTATTAATTGTAATTACCAACCCAGACGACCGTCCTTTGGGTCTATCATAATGCGCATATAAAATAGTATTAGTCTACCAACTAGTAAAGATACCTCAAACACAGACCCGAGACAATGTAAAACAGTTATTTTTCTGGATAAATGAGACAGAGTAGCGAACCTGAGAACCCAGATATGGCGACACCATGAGAATCGGTGTGGAAGTCACTCCGCTATGGTGATAGTCAAATTGAAATAACCTCAAAATTCCATATTTGTATTATCGAAGTATTTTTTTACGCTAAGTTCTTTAGAATTTTTAATGTTCTGGAAATGTTTTAGTTATTAACAACACACAATAAAACTATTTGCATTGCTGTCCGTGAACATTTTATATTAAGCCAAAGTTACTATGGACACTTGGCATTGTTCTTTAGTAATTTTAACACTGTTTTAGGCGGTTTTGATTAAACATTATTTGAGATTCAAATTTAACGGGCCGGAAACCTCCCGACTGTAAAAAATGGAGTTTGACCAGATGCGTAATTATACCGTTTTGTTCGCCAGTTCCTTAAATATAACGCCAACGAATCAGCGGGCAAAAGCCATTGCAATACTACATTTTCCAGTAAACAATTACATCTCTGTAATTATAAATTTAAAAAAAACTTACAGTTACCAAATAGATAACGATTGTCATACCTTTGGAGCCGATCGCCCAAGCAGCTATAGGAGTAACGCAGGTGGCCCACTGACTCGGCCTGTTGGGGCCGAAGAATCCATCGCCCTCAGCCCATTCGTTCCACAACTGCTTATCAGGGTCATCGGCACATTCATACAACACCATATGGTGGACTGGCGAAGAACTATCTTTCTCATACAATCGGTTGTTCTTAATCGGCTTACTATCTATTATGGGTTGGTAGCCTACGATGTGGTGCTTCTTGGGAAGCTCCGGAGCTTTGAAGATCTTGCACCAGAACAGAGTGGCCATCACGTTGGGGATTGTAAGCTGGAAACAAAAGACGGTGCTGTAAAAAACTGGATTTTTCATCGAGGATAGAGTTGATAGCGTCATACAATTTCACTGTGTAATCAAGAGTTAAGGTCAACTTGTAGGACTTAATGTCAAATTTAACTTAGACTAGATTCATCCCATACAATGATGTCAAAACGCCAATGTCATTTGACGTTATTGTATGGGCCAAATCAAGTATTAGTTACATTGAGATTTAGCTTGGTCCACTTGACCAAGTTCAATTTTGTAAACTGTAATTTAAGTGTACAAAACTGATTTAGCGTAATAAAACGTAAACTACACAATTCATCATGGGTCATTCAATATGGTGCCGGAAAGTGTGAGATCTTGAGGAATATTGATGGAAAGATAAGATCAACAAAGTGTTTTGTTGCATTAACATTTTTTACATTCATCAAAGCTGTGAAACTGTGCGTTAACAAAAAGTACTCGAATCACTTCAATTAAAGTAGGTAACGCTTTCACCGAAAAATTATGCAGAATATTCAAATTTATTCCGAGTTCAGTTAATATTTGCTGCCAAGAGTTTATTTGAAGAACATTAAAATTATTAAAGACGCGTCGTGATATTGAGCATATTGAGCAGCAAAACCAAAATAACACTAATATTATAAAGGCGAAAGTTCGTGAGTGTGTATGTTTGTTACTTATTCACGTCTAAACGGCTGCAGCGATTTAAATAAAATTTGTAATGGAGTTCGCTGACACCATGGATTAACACATAGGCCACGTTTTACTGCGGGAAAATATCCCTTATGAACCGCGGGTAGCAGCGCGGGACACAGCTAGTATGAACTTAAAATGAGACGAATAAGCTACACTCCGATTGAAATCTATATTTCAGATTATTATATTTATATTTTTTTAATCATTTACCTGGTAGATGTTTAAATCTAAAGCAGATTTTACTAGAAAAAAAGAACCGTCTGAAACCGTGACGGAGTACCTATATTTCATTTATTAATTGTCCTCTTTGTGGATGCCTATCAAAAATCTCACCAAGTTTTCGGAGTTATATTAACAGAATAGCACTAAAAGTAATTTCTATGAGAAATTTTGTGTTTGCTTGTGTTCTTTGATTTCATATTGATGTGAAAGCGACATCGATCGAAACTACTATCATGCTACAATGCTGACAGGTAACAGGTGTACCATTTCATTGAAGATACTCGTAATATGATGAAAGAGGTGATAAACTTTTGTTTCATTTCAATTATTTTACTACCTTTTCAAATATACTTATTTCAATCATTGCACGGACAATATCGTTTTGTGAAATACTTTTTAATCTGAAAGATCCTCCAACTGCAATGTTTTTTTTATTCTAAAATTTAGTTTTAATTGGCTTTTCTCTTTCGCTTGTTTTAATTGTTTAATTTAATTTCAGTTTATTAATTTTTGAATTACTTTGAAATTGAAACTTTTCAACAAACTTTAATTAAGTACCTAGACAATGAAAGGTCAGAGTTCAAAAGTTCTTCGAAGTAGTTTGGTGTAGCTTATTCGCGATACTTTTCATATATATAATTGCTTAAATATTACTTTTAAGCTACAGGACATGGTAGCAAGTGGTAGGTAAGACCCACTGTCGAAATATAAAGTGTATAATAAAACATTAACATTGTGGATTTTATTCGAGAGAAAATTTTATTTTTTAGATTTGTAAATGTAGCAGTTGAATGCTTAAAAAAAATATAATAAAATTTATGAATCATCCTACTAATATTACAAATGTGAAAGTATTTTTGTTACTCAATCACGCAAAAACTACTGAAAGGACTCGTCTCTCGACTCTCGACTCGACTCGATGTTTGGTACGCATATAATTTATAACTTGGTTTGACACCTAAGGTACATTAGAAAAAATTACTGGAAACAATTCTACGCGGTCCCGGCGGCAGACGGGACTCGAAATCGCACCCTCCGCTATCCGGGCGGATACACTGCACTGCATAAGATTTAAAATTCTAGCAGTTTAATGCTTAAAATAAACATAACAAACACAAGCTACTTTTTATCCCGTAAAATGCTAGGTTCCTATGGGATCCTCAAAAAAAAATTTATTAGTTTACAGCTTAGTAGGCCTCCTCACTTGTGTAAACTCTTTGTTTATGTAATGCCTACGGCTGGCAGTTATATTAAAAAGTAAATGTCATTATTTTAAAGATTAAAAAATTAGAATCTTTTGTCTCAAATCGAACATTCCAGGATTCGGGCACAGACTAGCGTTACAGTGCCATGTACCCATTTATACATAGAAACTTGTTTATTATTTTATTTCTTATATTCATATGCACCACCCAAAAGTATTCCTGCAAAACATTTTCATACATAACAATTGTGTAGAAATGTCCTTTGTATATTCTATGTTTATTCCACTAACTGTGAGTCGGTTAGCAGATAGAGGTACCGTCTAACAAGCGAATCTACAAGTTTAGCATAAAGCTATTTATGCTCGCAACTCTGACAACTCAGCTTGCACTCAACTAATTATAATATATGCACATACTAAGCCGGGAAGCTATTTCATTTAGATTATATGTCATTAAGGGGACCTCGGAAGTCGCAACGACGATAAAGACAAATTAAAATGTAAAATCCAAACAGGTGATATGAAATGCGTAAAATATGTATACTAACCTACACAAGGTGACATACCATTAGATAAGAATACATTGATGTCGATTCTGGCATGATTCTCTAAAGCTAAACTTAAATTTGACAACAGTGCATCTCTGTCATTCTCTATCAAAATGAAAAGGAGAGACTGATGTTAAATTTAGTTTTAAGTTTAGAGAATAACGCCAGAATCGATACCAGTAACTACCTAATTAATATATTTTTCAAAATAACAATACTATAAGACCCGCCTGTTGCGATTCAGTACACTGAATCGAGTAGGTATAAATAAATAAGATAAATGATACAAATGCAGTATTATTATTTATCCACTTTTATATACAATCAATATGCGAAGAGTCAACGGAAATAATTATGGGATAAAAAAGAAAAACATCAAAATTAATGTTTAAAAAAAGTTCGATGCAAAGCAAAAGATTTGGATAGCTTCTCATGTCAAGGACATGATGGTTTACACTTTTTATTTTTTTTGTTTTGTGTACAAAATGCTTGCTTAGACCGAATGAAAAATTATTTTATTTTGTAAATCGGATTTTCACAGCACTTTTTAACACTATTAAAAAAACTTCGTGAAGTGACTTTCAAGTAAGTATATCTTTACTTAAAGATGCTCATATTTCCTAACTAAGCTTGGAAATATGAGCATTATTTTGACAACCTTCTTCAAAAAAATCGATAGTGCTCTACTAGCCAAATACATTTTACAAGTTCGTGCATCAATGCTTCTTTTTTGGGCGCTGCGGTAATATACTACAGAAGTATTAATTTTCAGCCTTTATTTTCATATCTACTGTTGTAAGTAAATAGTTCAGAATTAAGAATTTAATTTTATCACAGAATTCACTCTGGTCGCTAGTTGGCATTTTTACACGTCGAGTTGGAATTGTCAGAAAAACTCTTACGGTTCTCGAGCCAGTAAATTCTATCTTGTTTTCTCATCTACCTCCTCCACCATCGGACAAACCATTAAACAGTATACGTAATTATCTAATTTGCGGTAGGAAAAGGCAAAAACTAAACACGAAACCGTTTTTTCACGAACAAAAAGTAATTTCGCTTCTCTTATTTTTTATTCTAAACAAGCGGCCCCGTCAAACTGCCCGATAAAAAAAAAGGAAATCCAAAAACTGACTACAGCACCACCCGCGGGGTTTAGTTATGAATCTAAGGCACGTATTATAGATAGATTCTCAGTGATTGATCTAGTCTTGAGCATAGTTAGAAAGGGATGTCGCTATATATAGCACATAGCGATATCCCTTTCTAACTGTACTCAAGTAAAGATCAACACTTAGCTGTCATTCTGTAATACGGGTCTAAGTCACCCAGAGACTTATTGGAATCACAGAATACATTGCCCGAATGAACACATAAACTTTTTTGAAATCTGACCAGCAGTTTTGCAGCAGTTCCGATACAATCCAACATCCCTACTATAGCTCCAGCACGGATCCAATTTGTAAATTTAAATCACCCTGAGACCCCCTCAAACCTAAACACAAATTTTCATAGAAATCGGTACAATCGTTTTTGATTCATTATACATTAGGCATACTAATATTATAAATGCGAAAGTGTGTCCGATTGTTGTTTCAATTAAACCGCTGAACCGAATTAGCTGATTTAATTTCATAAAATTTGTATCCCGGGAAAGGAATGGTTTTTATCCCAGAATTCATCCTTTAAGGAGGTAAAAAGAGGGGGTGGAAGTATGTATGTGAAATCAATTGAAACACGAAGCAAACGAAGTCGCGGGCACGCACCCACTAGTGATCTATATATTACTTGATATTATTTAAACTATCTTTGACTTTGTACTTACATTGCTCAACCTTACGTCCCAATTCTTCAAAGGCACCTGAGGCTTTGCCACCGGCTGCAGTAGTCTCAGCGGCTTTGATCCGCTCTTTACGTGCTTCGGCAGTTCACCGTCAGACCCTTCCGGACCCAATGCCCAAAGAACTTGCACTGTATCCTCCTGTATACGGTACAACAAAGGAAAAAATGTTTGAATAAAAATCCCTTTAGTTTTACCCATTATCTAGAATGGTGTCGATTCTGGTATGATTCTCTAAACTTAAAACTAAATTTAAGACCATTCTCTCCTTTTCATTCTGTATGGGAAATAACAAGGATACAAATTTAATTTAAGGTTTAGAGAATCATGCTAGAATCTACACCAGTGTCTACTTATCTGGTATTCTAGACACGAGAGATTTCTAATGTCTTGAAATTAAAAATAACAAAAAAACTGTAAAAACCTATGGATATTAGTGTACAAGATGTACATCACTAATGTGAATCAACTTTTCTTTACTTTGCTTTTCACCTCCCTATTTTCTTGTATACCTACTTATATCTTTACTATCCTTCTATGCTTCCACTTTCAGACTTCTGCCTGCGCTCCTGGCTGTATCAAATAGCAGCATCGAGCACGGACAGTATATTATTAAACACATTGAAATTTGAATAAGAATAACCTAGTTAAAGAGACATATTGTAAATAATTGAATAAAAATATTATGAAAAAAAAAGATGTACATCAAAAGGACTTCATCATAATCATCAACAGCCGATCCTAGTCCAGTGCTGGACATAGGCCTCTTTATTATTTATTGCACGCCATTTAGATCGATCTTGGGCTACTCGAATCCAGCTCCTGCCAGCCACGTTGCGCAAATCGAAAAAAGAAGTCAAAAAGACTTATATGAATCCAATAAATCACTTTTAATGCTACAAGTTCAAAAATTACTCACACCAATGGCGAAATCTTGCTTGTCACAAGTGTCCAATTGTCTTCTAAACTCGACAGTTGTGTGCGTGTCATTCTGGTAGCCCGAAATCAGTTCGTAGTTTTGCACCTCGTCAGCCACCGCAAGATCATCGAACTCCGGTCCGTGGCAGTCCTGAAAAGAAAATCATTAAGTTTTTAAAGCTGCCCGGTTTACTGGAGTATTTCTTGTTACACCGGAGAGCGCCGCTTTTGTTTTTGTACGGACCTCCGTCGTTAAAATAATAGTAAAAAAGGTTTCGATCATTCACGCTTGTCAGTTGTTTTTGGTCACGCTCGGTTGCACAACTATTTCGATTTTGCATTTAAAACTAGATCTGGCTTGGTCAAGTTTTTGTATATTTGTGCACTTCATGCTTCTAAATAAAATAATCTTTTCAGAGTTAAAGCTGCATTTGATATAAGTACAAAGTTGGAGGAATAATAGGAAAAAGAAAATCTAACAAACATTAAAATTAAAACATCTGTAAAAATCAAACCTTAAATAAATTCAAAAATATGGAAAAAGAAACATAGGTAAAAAGGTCAACTACAAATTAATTCCGAAAATTTATCTTCTCGGGAGGATTCGCGGTTTAAATCCAAGGTTAACAATTTAACATCTGTTATTTGAGAGACCAAGAAACCATAAACGAAAGAATGATCTACATATCTATTATATCCCCCGAAAAACACCCAAATAAAAGACGTAACAAGGATAAATTCATCTTTATTCGTTTGCCCAAAATCGTTAAAGTAATGGTACAAAAAAATATCTGCAAATGTTCGGAAAGGAACGACAGCTGATAGATTAAAATAGACTAGCAGATGTCTTGAAAGGTTGAAGAGGTGTACAATAAACGTACCTAAATAATAATAATTCTTTATTCCGCCGGCAGATGTCGCCCGCACGTGCCTTAACACCTGACGTATGTGATGATATGGGAGGGTCACATACATGCACATTTGGTGCAGTCACATGTTAAGAATTTATCTTCTCGTCTTTGTCGGAATCCCAAACGAATTCGTCATTCGTGTCATTCTTATCAAAACGTATATAGGTAGAGTAAGATCCCAAGCCCGCCAGACTTTACTTATTTGACGAAGACAAAATATGGATAATCGAGTAGTATTAGTGTGTACAATGATCGTATACATACTCGCTAACTTGTTCTGTGGGTCAATTCTTCGGTATCAGGGGACAAGGGAACGTAAAATATTACTATCTTTACTTACAGTCTGAGGACTGATTCCGACTATATTGTAGAGAATATTGTAAACAATTTAAAATTAATACTACCAGATACACTATGTCAGCTGTATTTATTGCCAGATACTTGAAATGTCGAAAGCAAAAATCTACGTGGTAAAGGATTTCCATTGTTTCAATGTTTTTCTGAGTATAAAATAGGACAAAACAGCCGTTCAAAATGTGAAAGACAACTTAATACCGACTTAGCACAAGAAATCCTGATACATAGCATGATTTTGCCCAATCTTCCGTTAGGGAATATGTTTCCTCTTAATCCCATGTCTGAACATACTAAACAATTATTCCGCTACATAGATACTTTCCGTCGTATTAGGTTTACTTTGCTTTTCTACAAACAAATACGTAGTTATAGCTATAAACAAAGTCTAAGTAAATACAATTAATTCAGTACCTCTACGTAGTTAAACCAACACCAGTAGTTGTCTGTTGGGAAACATTTAGACTTCAGATTTATTTAAGGTTTATAATTCCGTCAGCTATCTTAAATTTTAGTTTTTAGGAAGTAAATATCTGTTAATTAATAATAGGACTGTAATAAATATTTGTGACGTATATATTTTTTTTATAATACTGTCGGTCAACTAGAGGTAGAAATTAACAAATTTAATATGCAGGTTACTTGCTTTATGTTAGCTAAGTAGATACTTATCAATGTTTGTATCATTAGTCGAATACAATTATATGCCTTTAAGAACTTTAGTTGAATCACCATTAAAAGCTACTAAGCAAATACGTAATAACAAGTTCTTTATAGACCGTTTACTATAAATGCACAATAGCCTTTATAGTAACACCAACAAAACAGGATTTTGCTCAGATTGAACGTACTGATTCGCCGAGAAACACGCTCCCACGGTCATTCGAAAAAAGTCTCTTTATGTCATATCCTGGGTTTAATTGTGGAGATCTGAAGCCAGACTTGTTCACCTTCGCTTTGCTTTATGTCGTAGTTTATATTACGAGCAAACGACGACTCGCAAATGATTTAATTATCACAATAGCTGAAATGATATTGTGCTTAAAACTAAATCATTTGCATTAATGTTAGACAAAGCTTTTTGTGAATAAGGATCAAATTCGATAAAATCACATCTACTAATGAAACAAATAAGAATGAAGATACACTCAAAACCGTACCAAAGCACTTGAGAAGAATATGCAAAAATAAGAGCCTTGACAAAAGGCAACGATTGGGGTCTTTTATCAAAGCTATTTTGTGTAGTAAGGACTTTCTCCACAGCTTATTGTGGAAGAAATCATGAAATATTTTCGTTTCTAGTAAAACAGAGCTTTGTAACAATATAAGAATTTCAATCGCTTTACGCAGTGCTTTCTGAAGGCACGAGTATGATAATATTGTGTAGACCACATACGGAATCTTGAATATTAATCACAAGGTAGATCTGCATGTCCAGAAATTTAATAGACAAATTTTGCCAACGTTACATAGCAAGCTAACTATTCTGCGACTCTTGAAGTTCAAACGGAAGCATTAACATTCTTTCTACGTTCACACAAAAGAATAAAGTTTTGAGAATCAGTTTGATGGTTTGCGCATGAGAATCGAGACACAATAGGAATGCCATGTTAAACGCCATACTTGCGGTATTGGTACCTAGACAGTTTTTCGATCAACGATTTTGAACTCTAACGAAAGTAATAATAAGACACTTACCTATGAGAATTCTACCTGAAGGGAATTCGGTTTTGGCGAATGTACGCATAAATTGTATAGTAATAGCATTCCCCGGTATATCATCTTGGAAATGTACTTATTGATTGTAATCTTGTGAGAATCGTTGGAAATGTTCACGTTTATGCAGCTTTGTGCTTTACGTAGATGATTTTACTGATTAAAACTGCTTTGGAGTATATGACACGGTGTATAAATCTTCAACCTAATTGATTGTAATATTTACAAAAGAACACTCATTGCTGTTTGGCCTTTAGCCAATGAAAAACACTTACTTATTTCAATTTTTATACATCAAGAGTTTTGATTTACAGATTTTTATATAGGGTTGATGCAATTGATGAAACAAAACAAATAGTTAAAAAGAGAAGGGCGAAGCTGTTTTTACGCTCGCATTGGAGCATCCGCCTGGAAGAGAACCCCCACGCAAAAGATTGCAAAAATAATTTAATTGATTTTTATTGATGTGATCTATCAGTAAGGTTTCCATGGCGCGACGGGGTAGGGGATGGAGCCAGTGTAGGCAAAACATGAGTGATACTCGTGAAACGCAAAACGCACGTCCAGTTATACTAAAGCTGGCTATCGCTTATCTAGTTTCTTACATATAAAATACTTTCTACTTCGAATCCTATAAGAAATTACACAATGCGTAAGAGTTGTTTTTTATAATGTTTGCGTATTTTTGCATTTCATTTCAAGCACATTTATTATGTTTGAAAAATCTTCAGCACTTTCTATTTGATATGGATTTCAATTAATGCGTTTAATTGACAATAATGAAATTCCTACTAGCAAAAAATCAATCGAATAAAATATAACTGACGACAATAATTAACTTGTAATATTTTATTACGCCGTTATTTGAATGTAATTCAAAAGTTGCAGCAAAAACACTCGATTAGTAATTCATATTTTAAAGAGAGCAGCCCTACAATACAAGCGGCAATTGCATCCTAAATTACTGCAAGCAGAAATCAGTTGCGGTCTCATTAATAACCTGTGTGTTTGGTTTTGGACGATGTTCAATTGGGACCATTAGCGGATACCGAATCACCGCCTGTGAACGTGATTAAAATACTGTTTGAGAAAGTATATCGGTCATTTCTAATACATAGTAGTAGTCGTAGTTTCTAACACTGGTAGCGTTTAATTACTTGTCCTATATGGCTTAAATCTGGTATTTAAATCTGGACAAATGTATCTAAAAAGTATCTGGGCATACAATCAATCAAAATGTTGACGAAATTTGAGAGTACAGGCACGGTAATAATAGATAATATTACCGTGGTACAGGCGCTGAACATCATCAGAAACAAAGAAAAACCCTTCTCAAACATATGGCAGACCGAAATATTTTTATCTATAGAATTAAATATGAGACAAATAAGCATTAATTTCAGAATTATCGAGAACAAACTCTTAAGCGAAGTTAATTGTCTCAATCAATATCTTGCAAGGTAAATTTATTCTTAAAAAGGTTTTAGGTATGCCTAACCAAATTGAAATAAACACCGACTTGAGTTAACGAGAAAACTGAGCTTTTTCACAATACCAATAATGTTATTTTATGTTTGATTGGTCATTCTGAATATATTTTTATTAATGATTTCAGAGCAACTAAAATTATATGAAACATCTAAATTAATGATATATTTTCATGTAAATTAATTTTTCTATGCGTTTTTTACTAAACTGATATATTAAATGAATGGGAATTTTAATAGTTCATTTTGTGCTTCATAAAACACCTAATTTACTCATCTTTTTCAGATTTCAATACCTATTAAACGCATTCTGAACAATACGTATGTGAAATGTGCAATCTCAGTAATTAGACACCCAGATATATCAAAAACTGTTGTTTGTAGTTTAAAGACATTACAGCTATATAAACAAATGGATCGCAAAGAAAATAATGAAATATTAGATATTGTTACACGTACTCTTACGACAACGTCTCCCCGCGTATTCCTCACACGCCAGCATTAAGTGCAGGTGCGTACCCGTATGATGCACCTTGCATTGCGCCATGAATAACCAATCAGCGACGCCTTGTTTTCAAATTACGACCCGGTGCACATTGTTGGGTGCACAGTAAAATGTAGGTGCGAGTCGGTTTGTCAAGTAAGCATTAGTGAACAGCAAGAAGCAGACAAAATAAAGCTTC